GGCAGATAGCTACAATTTACGTGAAAGAGGGCTCCAGTACAGTGCTACAGTACTGAAAGTCGTTCAAACACTTTCCAATCTACGGCATTTGACGGTCATGCAGTCGGAAGATCCTGCGTGGTTTTTGGCAAGAGCATTCAAGTTCACATCTCGAACTGGCAGAAACTTTTTTGCTGCTATATCTCGTGACTACAATGTTAGTCTCTCAGGAATGAGCCACATTTTAGGCGGCAAACGCCTCACTCCAATGACGCAGCCGCTCAGCCTTGAACCTTGCGAAGTGAAGGAGCAGCTTGACGATAAGTGGGACAGAATCCAGAGAATAACTGGGATCCGGAAACAGAACGATAGTGTTGTGGTAACTTCAGAAGATCTTAACGCCTTCCTTGCTATGTCTTCGACTGCAGTACAAAATCTCCGCAAAGACAATATAATTTCACTTTTATTAACTGTTGGCAAAAGGGAAAAGAGAACGATGAGAAAGCCACAACTCATTGATGCTGTGAAAAGGTACCAGGCACAGTTCCGAAATGGAATTGGTGTGCCAGCAACGCAAGGTCCATCTTATAATCAAGAAGATATATATAGAGGAAATGCTGCTATTCTCCGCACAAACCTTTATAAGACCTCACTCGACTCCTGGGCGATGAAGCCATTAGTATCAACGGCTGGTATGAAGGAGGGCACGGTCAATGAAATACAGGTTCTAAGGGCCATACCAGCTTTTATTGAAAAACACTGTGTTTTCGATGCTTCAGTTGCGCATCAGAAACTGCTTCCTTTATTCGGTACCCAATATAGAGCGGACTACGTCCGAAGTGTTGGCCTTGTTGCGTCAAAATCCAACCCAATGCTCGCAGATAGCCCTGATGGGCTGATAGGGCTAACAGATGATGATGGGAATGCTGTTTGTGCTGCCATAGAAGTGAAAACTATGGCATCTCCCAATACAATTGAGAAGGCGAAAAGGAGGAGGGACGCCTACAGCCCATTTGTTTCTATAGAACATGTAGGGAACTCTGAATCTGCTGCAGCTCATTTCAAGGAATTAGTGGATACCACGGGGTACAGGTTTCAATGTATTCACTATTGTTTAGTAACGTCACTGAGGAGGGTTTTATATATTGTTGCAAAAGGCAGCCACAATGGAGTTGGGGAAATACTATATGCAGCCCTCATAGAGTTTGCAGATGTGGCGACTTCCTCTTATTCCTTTTGGATGGATGCGGTGCGATTAAGTGCTTTTGACTGGGTGGGCAAACATGCCTCTCACATACCTTCTGAATACGACCTTTTACTAAGTGGAAGCCACTCCCCTGATCTGTATTCATTGGCCTCGCATTATAATTTGTGTAGGGCCTATAAAAGGCTCGTAGATGCTAACGGGCCGTTACCGCCCAGTAGAATGATACGTCCTACATTATTGGTTTATTGGAACGCCTTGAAGGGGGGTGTAGATGAATTCAGTCGGGCACTGAAAAGCTTGGCCTACACTAACTCGAGCGAGAACCCGATCGTTAGTATAATTGGGAGACTGATTTGTGGGCAGGTTTGTAACGCTGCAATTGTTCATCGCATAGCTATCGCACGCACAAAAGGGTATTTATTGGCTTCAGAAGAGCATGCTACTACGAAAGAAGGATATAAGAAAACACGTCATCGTGCAACATCTTGTGCAACATTTGGGTCATTTGCGAGGTGTCTCGCACGGGAATATGTTAACATGGAGTCGGAGAGCCGAGACTCCAACACGACCCTCTGCCAAATGGTCTCTAACAGAAATAGATACTCAACAGGGAACCAGGGCAATTTTCATGCTGGAACGCATGCCAACATGAAGCACATGTACACAACGGATGTTGTAGAAAAGTACAATAGAAGGGAGGATTCAGTAAGGCGTCTAAACGGTTCTGAAGAGCATCAGGCAATCAAAGGGAAGGCTGCGTATTGTAGTTTGTGTTCGTTTACTCATACTATAATGTACAGGCAGAAGCGTTTCCAAAAGAAAGGTGGATCTAAGATGCGACAGTGGTGCGTGTTGTGCTCGCAGCCAATCTGACGCTCGTGTTGGGATATATGGCATACGGAAAGGAAGCTCCCGAAAGCCGAAATTAGTCCTGCGGAGTTGGCTAAGCTCAAGGAGAAAGCAAGAATGTCTACGTGAATAAATGAGCATCAGAATTGTAACGGTTAGAGCACGAAAGGGGTGACGGACAATGCGGATTTCATTGTACATATCTTGCAAACTAGGGAGAAGGATCCTCGAATTGGGAGAGTTGTCCCAGAATTGGGAGAGTTCTCCCAGAATTGGGAGAACTCTCCCACGGTCGTTGGGAGAGCTTCTCCCACTTTTTCTCCCAAAAAAAGTTTAGGTGACCATAACTCCATCCCTCCCCGTCTGCAATACCAGGCGCTTCGTTTGTAGCTGCATATCCACTGGGGTATTCGAGCGCGCAGCTCCAAACCGATATTGGTTTGAAACAAAATGACAGGGGAAAGATTTTCTATTTTTGCAAGTCAAAAGTTCTCCCAGATTTTGAGCACAGGGATATTACGGTAGATTTCACAACGGACAAACATTGCCATTTGAGGCCACTTGTCAACTACCCGAGGGTACACAGCGGCCACAAGAGTCAAACGTACCATGGCCAGTAGCCCCATTTAGTACCCGTACCCAAGACTCCTAAGTTGCCGAAACGGTCTTGTCGATTGGTGTTCATCCCCAACGATCTTGGTGACAGTGATGCTGCATCCCTGCTGGCACATCCCATTCTCGATCTCCCCTCATTGTCAAGGCCGTGTTCGTGGATCCGGTCGGCGTCTGCCCAACAACATCATCACGCTTTCCGCACCGCGTATCTGCATTCCCTACCATGTCCACCCCGGCCTTCATCGCGACATCGGCTACTTCCTTCCTGCGTGCCTCAGCCTCCAAAATCGCTGTCGACACCGTCACCGAGCGCGTCGCAAACCTGGCGTGGACCGGACCGTCTCGCGCCACAGTGTTCTACGCTCCAGTTGGAGCGAAATTCCGTTCGCATCGCGCTGTGGCACATCCTAGAGTCACTCTCAAGGGCTTGCGTCCGGGAACTCCCTATCAAGTGAACGTCGTCGGCGATGGATTCGACGCGAGCACCTCATTCACAACGGTCGCCGGTGCACCCGACGCCGCACTTGGCGATTCTTCACCAGAGGTTGAAGCCCCGTTTACGGAGCTCTCTCGCTTAGAGATTCGAGTCGGGAAGATTATTGAATGTGAACAGCACCCAGATGCAGACACGCTCTACGTTGAGAAGGTTGATGTGGGAGAGAAAGAACCGAGGACGATCGTGTCGGGGCTTGTCAAGTTTGTCCCCCTAGAAGAGATGGTAGGGAGAAACGTTGTCGTCCTGTGTAACCTCAAGCCTCGTTCAATGCGAGGGGTTACAAGTCAGGGCATGTTGCTTTGTGCGTCTAATGAAGATCACACAAAGGTTGACCCGCTTGCCGCCCCAGACACCGTACCTCTAGGAGAGCTTATTACGTTTGAAGGGCATCAGTGCGCACCCATCGACCCCGGAAACAGAGCAACAAAGGCATTTGATCGCATCGCTCACGATCTGAAAACAAATGACGATGGAGTCGCCATGTACCAGGATGTTCCCTTTGCGACACCTAGCGGCCCATGTGTATCTCCGTCAAAACTAGTTGGCACAGTTTCCTAGGGGTAACAGTCCAGTTCTTGCAACAGAAGTCCCCATTTATTCTTCCAGCGCTTACACTTGCTCGTCGTTCCTGCTCGTCTTCCTTGTGTTACCTCGCGTCACCATTTTCAAGGATGCGCCCGAGCTACATGACTGAAAGAAGGGTATAGTCTGTCGCTCCACGTGGGTGGGAACAGATATTTCGTCGTCTGTAAACTCGCGACGTTGCCTGAGGTAACAACACATTGCCCACCCACTGAGGCAAAACGCCACGCAAATACCGATTGAGTAGTAAACCGCGTGTCGGATTGGATATTGCCATTTCAGACTTATAACTGAGGGATCATCGCTGACTCTGCATCGCCATTCCTCATTTCCACATGATTTGGCAGAGAAACAATTGCTCTTTTCTTTTGGAAAATCAGCAACAGCAAAGTACTCCGTCGAAGTCGTCACATTCGAGTGCTTCACCAGGAAGCGCCAGCATGTGTACCTATTTCGTTCGTATTGGTCAAACAGTCAATAGTAGATGCAAGGAGCTGCGTTAGGTGATCACGTTCTGTGAACTCATGCGGACTCTCAGTGCCTATTTTGAAATAGACGAAACGTACCTCCCTACATTGGCAGCGGAAGAGCTAAACAAGCTTCGCCGCCAACAGGATAGATTTGCTCTTATTATCTTACAACCCTCGTCCTCTCTTCCCATCTGTAAAAGTTGTAAACGTCGGACAAAATTAACCTTGCGGCGTTAGTAATTTCTTCAAATCGCAGACATGGACGATGACGCAGGGCACACGGGCATTTAAACGTGCGGAGATGGTACTTAGGAGAGCACTTACAAATTTTCTGTTTGGAACCTCCACAACAACGATTGCCTGAACCAACAAAAAACATCCTACAAAAAACAAGATAATCGCATAAACAAGATGCGTCAAGACAGGGTTGCTGGGGTTTTCAACACTTGCAGTAACTTTGATAGCATTACACGGAGTCTCGATTTCAGCACGAGCACATGGCTCTGGTGCGACTACTTCGTTTGTGTCAAAAGGGACTAGTTTCATATTGGAACTTCACAGAGTTATGTACAGTTTGATGAACTTTAATCTTTGATGCTCTCTATCTCGGCAAAGAATCGATACTGACGCGCGATGCAAATCTTTAAATGAACGTTTTGGACACAGTTTGTTCATGGCTTACTATTCGGAAGTCTATTTTCTGGGGCCCGTGAATTGCTCTGCCCTATTTCGGCACCAAAACAAAACAAGCGTGGCTGTGACGGCCTTAGAATGCTGCTGCGAAAGGAGACATGACACATTGAAGAGACGTCGTTTAGCAATTGCTGTGGCTTGATCAGGCAGAATTCCTCATTTAAGCGGCCAGTTTAGCTCCTTTCCCGACCGCTGAAACGCGCCGACCTAGAAATACCTAGCAGAATGTGTTCGATAGTACAGTTTGGATGGCATCGCGTGCTCGAGGTTTACCAACCGCTACACAAATGGTGAGATCCAGTCAAGAGCGGTCGTGTAACAGGAACTGCAGTTCTGTCCATTGAATATAATCCAGTATCTTGTGCCTTAAGGTGTCGCTTTCACTCGGAGCGCCCAGTCAGCCGTGCAGTATTTCATGTTGTGGACAGCTCTGTTTCTCGTCATGGCACCGAACCTTGATTCTGCTGCAACAAGGGAGTCGTGACTGTGGGGGTCGACGACGGAGCATTCTCGTCTGGGCTATCATCAAGACCTTCAAAATCAATCTGAGGGACATTTTCCTGTACCATCTCGTCGAATAGATGTTCTGGTAATGTATTCCCGACTACTTGAATGCCATCTTGTTCCAGCGCTTCTGGAATTCTGTAAAGGAACACGTTTCCTCGGACTCTACGTAAAAATGTTTCACTCATCTGTAGTACTTGGCGGTCAATTTCGGCCTGGTCTTGGTTACCACCACCGTACATGAGACGCAACTCGTAAAGCGTGTGTTCAGCCTGATACGCAAAGAGGGCACCCAAATAGTAGAGCGTACCACCTATCATACACAGCAGTTGCTCGACAAAAAAGCCAAGAAAGTAAATTGCGAAGAGGCAGAAGCTAATCCAAACGACAGTGAGAAAGGGAAGCGCAGCTGCTACCGTGAGGATGATGCAACAATATCCGAATGATTGCCAAAGTCCCTGACCGTATAGCGATAGCTGATATTCCCTTGGAACAATGATGAGATACAAAAGAGCAGACAAAGCAATGATAGAAAACGTCGCTGCGGAAAGAAGCGAAAAACTTCCCGGGGCATGTGGGTAATAAATTGATCCTTCTGAAATAATAGAAACCAAGAAGAACAAAAGCGACGCGAATGCGATTTGAAACATAACAACAAACTTGCTTTCTCGGTCATATTTTCTTAGCCAGAATGCATCCGAAGGATCTTCAATCCCGTACGCACATGGCAGAGACTCATTCTTGCAACTCTCGGAAGAGTTGCACCCATCGAGTTCTCGCAGGAGCGACACTTCGCGAGGAGTATACTTTTCTGGTTCCTCACGACCAATTAGATGCACGTCTGGTCTTTTCAAACTGACTACGTCAATCTGCCACCTGCACGGCTCCGTGTCTGGTGGCGAAGACAACTTAGTGTCTCGACAAAAAGAAGGCTCCAAAAAATGGACCAAGACAACCTTGCAAATCTCGGGTAGGGCCTCGCGAATGGCCCTTACTTCGGCGGGGGGATGAATGACACGTTGGAGGAGTGAACAAAGAAGGCACATAGAGAGCAATTGAAATGCCACTCTTTTCCGACGATTCATATTAGGTTGAAGGGTGGCGGAGCGCCGTGATATGTGGAAACGATTGCAAACCGAACGTCGACATGCTTTGATGGTTGTTGGCAACTGCTTATCGGCATACGGTTGTCTTTCCTGGTTTGTTTGAATAGGGAGCCAACAGAGGCATACAACATATTAGTGACAGGGGCGGGCCCTTGCGAGAAACACAGAGAGTGTTTGTTGAATAAGCAGTGTGGAGGAGATGGGTAGATGCAAGTCTCGAAGGGGCATTTTCAGAGTATTTCCATTTTCTCCTGAAAGTTTCGGAAAAAGTAATTGTCACAATTTGGCTGTGGCTTGTTCAGTACGACACGTGCAGCGCATCGTGACATCCAGCTTGGACACCGCGGATTGGCTCTTGCGTTGCTGGTTCTTTTGCTCCACATTGGGTGCATCCAGAAAACAACACTGTATCACTCGACTACTTTTTTGACCAATCAGCGACCGATAAAGTGGTCGCCGGCTGACTACTTTTGACCATCTGATCAAGCCCTCTCGACCCCTCTCCACTCCACCACTCCCGCACCACTTCCCATTCCATCCTTGCGCACTGGAGTTCCACATTCCAAGACCCCTCTCTCGAGCTTGTCGGTGATGCCCGCTTCGCCAATGCCCTTTCGGAACAGCCGCAAGCACACTCTGGCAGCTCTAGCAGTATCGCTAGCAGCTCTGGCGACATGTCTTGTCGCCCGGAGGAGGACAACAATGCGCCGCAAGCGCCGTCATCGCAACAAGAACCCAAAGTACCTCCGCCCAGCCATTATTCGCCCTCGCACACAGCGGTCCACTCCTTGGCGCGTGCCCTTCAACTAAAACTCTACTCCATGAGTGAGGGAATGAGGTTGGATGCCGGCCTACCTCTGTGAGCACGTCATTTGTGATTAGAATGCACCAGTGCGAATAGCAAGAAGGGCAGTCGGAAGAGCCGACAAGTGCTCGTAACTTTCTGAACTGAGTTCCGCAACGTACTGTGCCATGCGGAATGCTTGAACGGAGGCTCTCTGGTGCGCGCGCATCTTTGGATGATAAAACCTGTTTCTTCATCGCGTGAAAAATTGACTAAACCTGTTTCGACATAAAGAGTGCCCCCATGCATTGTATCGAAAGGCAGTCCTTCCCTAAACTAGAATGGCGACCCTCATAAAGTGGGCTGACCCGGAAATGGTCGCCTTCCCAGCGTTTAACTCTTCCAAACCGATTGCGCTTGGTTTGACTGGAGTTGCGTAAAAAGTGTGGTACGCAAAGGGGTGTGCTGTGCAACTTGCGCTCGAGGACATTGTCAATCTTCTCAAATCTCCTTGCCTTCCGAGAAGTGCAGGCAATGGCTGAGGTGGTATGTGGCGCTGACGACTCGGCGGTTAGAGAGAGTAAAGGGTCTCAGGGGGTTTCAGGGGGTCTCAGGGGGTCTCAGGGGGTCCCAGGGGGTCTGACGAGGAGAATCTTGCCCTGCGTGTTGCTGATCTCAGCAACATTGCGCTCTCAAGAGCGCAATGTCTGAGAACTCCGCAAGAGGATCATCTAACGGCGGACTTGTAATAATTAGGGTGACCCTAAATATTAAAGAAGTGTGATGCAACACGCTTAGAGGGGCTGGGCTCATCGCTGAATCACCACCACCTCCAAAACGCGGCCTGACTAAAATATAGTCGATCCAATCACCTGACGACAGTTGTCTGCATTTTGTGTCGATGCGGCGATGGTTGAGGTATGAGAAGGGAAGGATACTAACGATACTGAACTACTGTACAGTTGGCAGTGCCAACTGTAACCTAACTGTAGACCTAAATAATGCACCGGAGTGCCAAGTTGGCACTCCGGTGCATTATTTAGGTTGGCGGTGACGGCCGCTCTGTGACCTCGCGACCTCCGGGTTGTCGGAATAATAGCATACAGTAGTCTCACTTTTTAACACGCACTTCGCGAGAGAACCGGATCAATTTTCGGACATTTGTTGGAGTCAATAAAATGTTGCAGTAGCTCATTGGCCAATCTTTGACCACTAACCCGTTCATGGTGGTGTTTTGAAGCATTGGACAAGGTTTCAACGCAATTGAAGCAAGACAAGTGGCCCAAAATCCATTCTGTTTGCGGTCTTGTCCTAGTTTGGAGGAGGTGAAAAGATGGAATGTAGTCATTGATAGAAATAATCAAATTTCTAGTTTTCATTCAAATATTCAAGTTTTTGAAGTTTCGCATGATCCTCACACTGAGTTTGACGGGATGATATGATGCCAAGAATGGCCAGAAGTGCCCTCATGGCCGTGTTAGGGCTGACAGAAAATAGCCTGCCTAATGACTTCCCATCCGACAAGAATTTACGGTGGAAGGTATCTTTCCTTCGTTCACAGATGAAGGCAGCTCTGAGAAATGCCAGCTAGTTTGCATTGCTGTACTAATAGTTAAAGGGTCAAATATGATATTTGTAGAATTTGGTTATTTTTATCGATGCATCACCCGCCAATTTTCCTCTTTTCTCTAAAGCTCTCAGACCAAAGGAATAGTCTTCTGGCTTGTTTCAGGTCCATATTCGAGGTCTGCTCGATCACAGCTTTCCATTGATACGAAATTCATTCAGAAAGCACGAATGCGACATTTTATCAACTAACTTTTCTGTCATGAAATGGGCAAATTTTGATCCGGTTCTCTCGCGAAGTGCGTGTTAAAAGAATGACCCGCAAAAGAATATTCTTTTTAGTAGAATACATACACTGTTTCCCGTCCTGGGAATGGCCAAAAAACCCCTATTTTCATGACATTTATTCATATACGACATAAGAATATGGTATTTCGAATGTCGCTTTATCCCATGGAGTACAGTATGTAGAAGGGAATGTATTTTGGTCCTCTAAACGGCCAAACAGACGTCCGAGATCTGCTTGGTATAACGGTCAAACGGATGTTCCGAATTTGGCTGTACTACGCTACCTTCGGTGCATCAAAAGAGATCTCAGCTGCCAATGTGCAAACGCAGAAGCAGACGAGAATTGATTCCTTCTTTTCAGGGGCCAGTAACCTTGCTGGACAAGCATCATAACTGCCGCCATAGGAATATTCTCTTTACATGAATAATAATGTCCTTTCCCGTCCTCATTCTTATAAAGAGAGATTACTGTACTGTACCTGCCGCCACAGTTTAATACATGCCCTCCACAATAACACCTTGCAAAACATTGATATATCAGTTGTGAATACACTGAAAGACCAAGTATCCAACGAAGTTTCAATGCCCGGTTGACATATTAAACAAGCGTTTGGGTTTCGAAGATATCAACACATAAAGTCTTGAGGTTGGTCAAAAAGGCTTCTTCTTTAGGCATTCTAAACATGGCTTGAAAAGAAGTGCACATCTTACCAAACTCCATCCTTCCGCAACGCACAAGTCAGCTGCAGTGGCGAGAGTTTTTTTTTCCTTCTTGTTGAGAAAGCACAAGTCCAGAAAAAATAAGTTGAAAAGTAGCCTCATATGAGGTCACTTGTCGTAAAGATCTAGACGACAAGTGACCCCATATATACGGGATGGTCGCGAAATGCAAGACTGGTGACGTAAAAGCCGGTCAATGTATTTTCGAAGTCGCATCACGAAACAAGAGTCCCATATACTAAATGAATCAAAGCATGTCTAGTTGCAGAGTGCGAGAATGTCAGAGATTCCTGTGTCGTGTCGTCACTCCAGAATGAAAGGGGTACGGCCACAAGACGCATCTCAGCCTTGTCCCTCGGTACAATACCCTTCATTCGAACACGATACGCTCGCATCACCATAACCAACATGCATGACTGCAACTTTTCAGCTCTTCCGCATGTGCTTCAAAGAGAGCGTGCTCGTTGACGGCCATGGTATGCTTGCCGTGCTCAGGATGAATTGCAGTCGCACCACAGATTTACAGTAGCCTCATACAGTTGTGTCACGCCTCAAGGACGGGCATCTTTCTCAATTCAGCACTTCGCCGTGGCTGCTACGTGCTACCTTGTCAGCCTTGAGAGCATCTTTGTCGTAAGTGGCACTATGCCTTCGGTATCAGCTGTGGCATCGAAAAACCAAGCTGACGATACTTGTCCTTCACAGATGGAGCACGGCACTAGATACTAAAATAACTGATGTCGTGAGCTGATTTCCTCTTTCATACCGTTTCACTATCGTGCACCCACGTACGCTCCATTGCCGCTTCCGTTGGCATTGGCAGCGGGCTCAATGCCCGACATCATATCAGGATTCATCGGCCGGTCCTTGCCTGATCCTGGACCTTGAGGTGGCTGGTAACCCGCACCACCTGAAAGGTGAGCGTGATTGGCGAAACTGCTCGCATGGTGATCCGGGGCTCCCCCGTATTTTGAAAGCTCTGCTTCACCCATCGTGCTGCTCTTGAAGTTGAGCGTGCCGGCTTGTGGCTGTTCCTCTGGGTTGATTGCGGCGAAAGTATCTGTTGAAAGTGTCCTGAATTTGCTTCCGTTTTGGAGGTCGTTGTTATCCATGTCCTGCCTGAATTGTTCGGCTTGACTTGGGCCCATGAAACGGTAACCACCACCAGCCCGAGCAGCCGGTCCTCCGAGTAATTCTTCAACTGCCTCTGGATGGTGGGCAGCAATCTCTTTGATAAATTCCACTCTCATTTCGTTGGCAGTGAAAAGCCTTCGCTCAAACTGAAAGTCTCTTTCATCGAGTGCTTGAGTTTGCTGGCCGTAGCCGAAATGGCGCAGGTCGTCGAAGTACGGGAGTTCGAGGGCGTCGAGAGCGGTTATTCGCTGATCTGGATCAAAGGTTAGTAACCTTTGTAATAAGCTAATGGCGCCGGGGGAAGCACCTTTGTACATGTCAGCTAGTGAGGCTGGGGGACGGTTGGGAACAGAATCCATATAGTCTGCGAGTCTGCGATCTCCTAAGCGGGCGATGACTTGACGGGATGGCTTTCCCGTTACGTTGAGAATCAGGGAGAACTGTTCCTTTGCGTTAGCGCCTGGAAAGAGGGGTTTGCCTTTTCCGAGAATTTCGGCAAAGATGCATCCGACGGACCACATATCGATAGCCGTTGAATACTTTGAGGATTGGGCGAGGATGAGTTCGGGGGCTCTGTACCACCTGGTGGCGACGTAATCTGTCCAAAAGACAGGATCATCGCCGCGTTGAAAGGCGGCGCGGGCAAGACCAAAGTCACAGATGCGAAGCTGGCATTCGGCATTGACGAGAATGTTGTTCGGGTTTAGATCGCGATGGAAGACCCTCGCTGAGTGCATGAAGTTGACGCCTCTGAGGAGTTGAAACATGAAAAACTTGGCATGCTTTTCGAAAAGCACTGTCTTACTCCTGAGCAAGCGGCCGAGGTCTGTAGGCATGAGTTCAAAGACTACGAAAACATCATTAAATTTGTCCCTCTCGCCCGGGATGAGGACGTCTTTGACTGCTATAATATTCTCATGAGAGTGGAGAAAGCGGAGAAACTTTAGTTCTCTGAGAATGCGAGTGGCCATACCCGAGGAGTCAAGGACACGCTTAATACGCTTGACAGCGACTCTCTCATTGGTAACTTTGTCCAAGGCGCAGACGACAACGCCGTACGCCCCCTCGCCGATGACTTTTTGGACAGCATAACGATTAGCCTGGACGGCGGGGGTGAAGAACTCTCTGCGGGTGGCCTCGCGTCTAGCGCGACGCTCGGCGACACTGGGCGGTTGGCGATGTCCCGAGGACATGGGAGGCAAGTTAGATGGCGAGAGGTGGAAGAGAAAAGGAGAACTTGGAAGAAAAAACACAAGGTAGTTGGCGGGGAGGGGGGAGGGGGGAGGGGAGGGGTGGGGGATGCGAGAGGAATTGAAAAAGGAAGGGTGAGGGGTGGGGTGTACAAGTATGCGGGGAGGGGGGGCGGAAGAGGTGAGAGGGAGGGGGGGTTTGTAGATGGGGACGCAGAGGCGAGGCAACAAGACCACGCGTAAAAAGTCAAAACTGGGCTTCGTGAGCGTCTTACTGCACACTGTATCTTTGCTCCGCCTCGGCAAATATTTTGACCATGTCACGCACTACGCACATGTCACACCTCTGTCACCCACCGTATCACACGTGTAATACCTGCACAAATTCCTTTTGGCTTTCTCCCCCGCCCTTCTGTTTGCAGCGACTCATCTTCCTCTTGCGCCCTCACCTCTCCACCGCTACTTCCTTTACGCAGCATCCCTCCCCCCTCCCTGTCCTCCCCCCTTACCCCTTGCCATGCTGCAAAACACCCTCTCCTCCCTCCTCGTCTCCCTGGCGAGCCGATATGCAGACCTCTCTCCTGCAGACGTCGGCATCGGCATTGGCGGCGGCCGCCTCGTCATCGACGACGTCAAGCTCCGCGCAGACGTCTTCAACTCCGCTACCCTCCCCTTCCGTGTCCAAGAGGGGCGCGCTGGTCGTCTCAGAATCAACGTACCCTGGTCGGCTTTATCACACGCTCCGGTAGAAGTATACCTAGAGAATGTCCGCCTCATCGCCGCTCCAAAGCAATCGCCACCAGAGCACACTGCTTCAACCTCAGCTTCCCCTTATGTCGCGCCGCCCCCACCGCCACCGATTCGGGTTGAAAATATTGTTGAGGAAGCGGCAAAAAAGGGCGATTGGCATCAGACCATTGTCGGCAGATTACTGTTTAATGCCTCTGTTGAGCTGTATGGCCTAAAGGTCGAGTACAGGGACTCGGATTGCGTTGGCATTATTTCCGTGGCTTCATTACGTGCTTTCAGCGCCGGCTCTGACTGGCAAAGCCGCTTTGTCTCGCTCAATGCCGATTCTGACGTCCGTCGTCAAGGTTCCACTTCGGCTGTCCCCATGCGCAAATTGGTCAAACTCGCAGGTCTGCACTGGGTAATGATTCCGAAAAACCCCACCGCTGCCACAGAAGAACACTCCCATAATTCCCAATTGGATAGAGAATCCTTTGAGAGTAAGAGCCCCATCGTTGATGGTATTGCAGTCACATTGCGTGTTTTGCTTTGCACAGGAACCGCGTACACAGATGCTCATCCAGATCTTTTGACCCCCGGTCTCCATACCGAAATAGACATCGATGTCGAAGATCCTGCCGTTAATCTAACATCGCGCCAGATCAAGTGGATCGATCGCCTCGTTCAGCAGGGCTTTGGTTTGAAAAGGAAACTCGCCGCGACTTCTGATCACAATGTCCTCGTCCCGAGCACTGGTCCCTCTCTCAACACGAAGCGGAGACCGAGACCCGTCTATCCGGATCCGCTTCAAACGTCCCCACGCAGTACCAACGGCATATCAAGCAGGCCATACGGCGATTCTACCACTGATCCCGTGCGACAATCCGCCAGTTACCCTGGAGCGAAGCCTGGACGCTTAGCCCCACCTCCGTCCGATACAGATAGTTACTACTCGACACCCAATCTTACTCCGGAAGGCCATGACTTTTATACAGATGAGCAAGTTGATGCTGAAATTGAAGAAGTTTCTGACTATGACAGAGATGAACACCATGATGATGAAGAGATCGAGGACGAATTTATGCAAAAGCCTGCACAAGGTGGACTACGGTCATTTTGGCGAGCTATTGTTAGTGAAAACGGGGATGAGACCGTTGATGACGCTGCTATTGCTCTGGGCTTGGTCGACGGGGATATTTCAGAGGAAGAAGTAGATGACAAGTACGAGGAACCAGAGGAGCAGAGTGCAGACTACCAATATGCGCGCGACGTTGTTCAGGCGGCGGCCAACGCTGGGGGACTCACAATGAAGCTGCGTGTCAAGACACCAGACACAGAAGCCTGGGACCTCGTTGACAGCTTACGGGAAGAATTGAAACGGGAAAGAGGCGTGCGACGAAGATTGGAGAATCTCGAGCACGTGCTTGAAGAAGCAGAAAAGCGCGTCAGGGAATCGGAGGAAGATGCGAGGGCGCTGCAGGAACGGAATACATCGTTGGTGCAAGAAGTGGAGGATCTGGAAGCGATGACGTCTCAAGCAGGAAAGAATAAGGATGCCATGATCAGGCAAATGGAAGCAGCGCTCAGCAATGCTGAACGGAAGCTGCAATCGATCTACCAGGCACAATTCAGCAACAAACAGGTACAGAGAAAGCCCGCCGTGGTCTCGCCACAGCTGCAGCACAGCTCACCGCCGCCACCGCCACCGCCGCAGATAATGATTGATAGCGAGGATATGACACCAACAGAGCCTCCAATTCTGGACAGGGATGTTTCTGAATATCCGGCTCGCAACACAGGTGAGATTTTGAAAGCGCAAGAAGATCAGGAAGAAGTTAGCGCCGATGTCGACACAGAAGTTGAAGGTAAGAGCTCGATTAGAAGCACGGACGAGCGGGAGAATGGCGATGGCTTGGTTGAAGAACCAAGGGAAGCGACAATTGTAGATGTGAATGCGAGAGAAGAGGCTCCAGAACCGAAGCAAATAGTCATCAATATTCCGAAGGAAGATGGGGAGAGGACGCTAGCGCATGCCGACGAAATGGCTAAGATTTTCATCGAACCAACCAGAGAGGAGTATTTTTCCAAGATGAACACCTCGCAGCATTTCGTGGAGGACATGTCATCAGAAGGACTAACTTTGATTTAAAGTGCAGATATTTTAGCAGATAGCCCGAGGATTAGAGAAGACGTGGAGAGCAAAAGCAAATCGCGCAGGAGCAACTCTTGACGTTCGTTGTTTTACAAAGCTGATGTAGCGAGATCTGCGACTGAATGGCATAGAACTAGGAGTCTTGGTCTGCAGCCAGGCCCATTTGCGAGAGCCAGCCAGTTTCGCTGGCACCGTCGGAGAAGGGAAACGGCGCCAATGACGTAACAAACTAACACGATGGTAGTCAAGCTGGATGGTGCTTCTTCCCTCGGGCAACCAATTGCGCAAGGTACACTAATTTTTCATTAAACCATGATCCGCATATTCTATTTTGAACTGGAATTTCCCGCGTTTTTTCGGTATTTGGCAAATGTACGTACAGTAGATGCACTCCGCCTTCTCTTTTTGGACGTCCTCTCGTTCCTCGTCCATTGTTCCCGCTTTGTGTCCGGCCGCCGTCGCTCACATCATCCATGAAAGTCTCTATCGACACTGCGAGATTAATTGCTGCCTGGACCTGGGACGCTGGCGACGACGCCTGTGGCATTTGCCGCAACCCGTTTGACGGTTGCTGTCCAGACTGCAGCGTACCCGGAGAGACTTGCCCAATTGTCTGGGGCGGGTGCAAGCATCCATTTCATTTACATTGCATTTCGAAATGGATATCAGCACAGGCTCCGGAGCAACAGAAATGCCCAATGTGTCGACAGGGTTGGACGTTCGAGGAACACCGTCCGACTTAAATGACGGAAGGCCGCCGCCACATCTCGCCAAATATTATTACCAAAGACACAGGCTGTTTCACAAGTTTGACGAGGGGATTGAGCTGGACGAAGAGAGCTGGTATTCAGTGACCCCGGAAAAAATCGCGCAGCATATCGCGGACCGTTTCGCGGGGAGGCAAGTTGTCCTTGACTTGTTCAGCGGAGCGGGAGGAAATGCAATTCAATTTGCGCTGGCAGGAGCATTTGTCATCGGAGTAGAAATTTCGAAGGAGAAGATTTCTTTTGCTCGTAATAACGCCGATGTGTATGGAGTTGCTCAGTATATTGATTTTGTGCAAGCTGATGTGTACGAGTTTGTTCCGGTTCTCGTGAACAGCAGTCCGCTTGTAAATGGGATATTCTTATCTCCTCCGTGGGGCGGGCCTGATTACACTTCCGAAGAGATTTTTAATGTTTCTATCTACTCTGAGATTGTGAGACTCGCGAAAGAGGTATGCGAAGATGTCGGTATTTTGCTACCAAAAACAGTAGATTTAGAGAATGTGAAGGAACATTTCGGACAGTGTGAGCTAGAGCATAATTATTTGGGAGACAAGCTAAAGACTGTCACCGTCTATTTCGGTGCGCTAGTTTGCAAACCACAGGCAGGTTGTGACCCGAACCTTGGTGATATGTCAGACTGGCTTACTGAGTCGTAGTGCAGCGGCACTCAGCAGAAGTGGTTTTATAAAATTGAGATAGAAGTGATGCTTTCCCATGCTCTGTTTCTCCAAATTAGGGCAAGGCTGCCCAGAGAATTGCCACTACAGTTTGCTTGCCACTTCGCTCCTGTGAAATCAGTGTACCTGGCAGAGTGGACTAGAATTTTGTTGAGTAGATTGTTTGAACTGAGCAAGTACCGGCGTGTAGAACCTTCGGACAGGTACCGATTCTTGAAGGGTGACGCACTGTATGCATAGATATCTCAGCATAGGTTTGACAAGCTTGTTTCGGTGGAAGATAGTGAAACTAGCCTGTGTATTTCAGCGAGAGCCATCCTGCCATGGGTAGAGCTCAAAAGTTGAAACGCGAGGCCTCTGCGCTATTATGGTGGCTTCAGTAAGGCGCATGCAATAGTGCGATGACGCCTCTAACAGCTTCTGCGATTTATGCTTAACATAAAGCCGCCGGTTCTATAATAATTCACTTATAAAATTTCATTTGTCTTTTCTTATTGGACATGTGGGTGAGGTTGTCCGATATTTTGCGGGAGTGGACTTAATGGCGGCGCTCTCTACTCGCGCGAGCAAAGAGTTCGGTCAGCCCGCTTTCACCCCACATGTCGGCACATACCCCGCTTTGCCAACGTCTTTCAAGAACTGCATGACTCCAACGCCGACGTGCACTTGCGCATGAGCGCCGCTAAGACCTGCTTGGATCCTTGAATGCGCGTTCAAGCCACCCGCTTTGCCACCCGTTGACGGAAAAGGACCGATCGACACGATTGAGTCCGCACTCGTGTAGTGGTGCAACACTCTTGCAATGGAGACCCCTCGCGCACGGGATGGTGAACGGCGGGTAGCGGCTGACAAGTGGGATATTGACGGATGGCAGATGCTTGCTTCAGAGGCCGAAGCTGCCCCTTTCGCCACGGCCAAGCCTGTCTACGAGCGCCTGGTGTCCCACTTCCCGCCGATCGGCAAGTTCTGGAAAACCTACGCTGAACATCTCATCCGTGAGACCCCAGACGATCACGACGGCGCCAAAGAGATTTATGATAGAGCAGTTGCTGCTGCTCCAACGTCGATTGAACTATGGCGAAGTTACATCAATTTCACTTCGTCATTGGCCATCAAAGTTCCGGGATCCAAGTTGGAGACTGATGCTCTCGCTGTCTACGAAAGAGCGATTGCTTCCGCTGGGCTTGATCTCAGCGCCAATCCGCTTTGGTCCCACTATCTCGACTTCCTCAAGAAACATGCTACTTTGTCCGACAGTCATCGCCGTGATGCGCTACGGCGAGTCTATCAGAGAGCGGTAATGACATTCACTTCGTTCCTTTCCTTAATTTTGATCTATGGAGTTTCGCTTATCGACCAGCATTCGCGCCACAACTTGCCCCTATCGACCCTCGCCATCAAAGAAAAAACAAAACATGTGTCGTTGAATGATTCGAAACTGCCCTTGTTTGCTCGACATAGCGTCCCTTCCGCGTGAAATACTGTTGCTAGAAGTTGTTCCTAGACTAGTCACGTGCAGGGTACCGGCAGTTCAGCTGTATTCTTCGGTTTTGCGTCTAGACTTGTAGTAGGGAGGAGTTGTGTGCGCGAATGTATGGTCGGCGACTGTATTATCAGATTCTCACTTGCGATACTAACTTCCAACTCTTCTGTACCAAACTCTTTCTCTGTCTTCGTAGGTCCGCAACCCAATGCAGCACTTGGATTCCTTCTGGAGAGAATACAGCACATTTGAACATACGAGTAACACGAACAAAGAACTTGGGCGCGGTCTCATCGCTGAAAGTCAGCCAAAGAATATTGATGCAAGAGCAGAATTTCGAGCACGTCGAAGTCGAAGGGAGGGTTTGACTCTTTCCGCCCTTCCAGTTAGTCCTCGGGGACGCGCGAAAGAGTCGAGTCAGGCTCAACAGTGGCGACGATTTATTGCCCAGGAAAGAACAAACCCGTGCAACTTAGTTGAATCCGAGCTCAATGGCCGAATTGTCCATGCATTTGAGAGTGCACTGTGTCCGATGTACAGGTACCCTGACTTTTGGATGGAGTATGTGTCTTATGTATACGGGAGCTTCGTTAAGGACGGTCAGCCAGCACCGACGAAGGCTGGGAACAAAGATAACGGCAATGCTTCAAAAGAGGAATCCCGAATGGAGAAAGCCGCAACCGCACTTAAGCCTATACTCGAACGTGCAGTACAAGCTCTGCCAGAGTGTGTCGCAATACACACTCACGTGAACTGGGTATATGCGCGACTGGGGAACGCATCAAAGGGCGTTGCTGCGCTTGAGACGCTGTGCAAGCGATACCCTTCCCCTCTGGCGTACATTCACCTGATGCGTGCTGCCAGGAAAGCAGATGGCCGTGGTGCTGCCAGGAAAGTGTTTGGGAGGGCCCGGAAGGACCCGAAGGGCGATGACCCAGCTGTGTATGTTGCAGCGGCGCTGATGGAGTTCCGCATAAACAAAGACAGTAAAGTTGCTCGGAACGTGTTTGAGTTTGGTCTCAAAAACCATTCGAAAAGTGCCGTCGTGGCGCTGCACTATGTCACCTGGCTGTGGGGTTTGGGGGATCTCGAATACGCCCGTGTTGTTCTGAAAAAGGTAATGCCTGATGTGGAAGGGTCACCGGCTGATGTACGCGGACTCTGGGAACGGTGGTTGGAACTTGAAGATATTGTCGGGGACACAGCGAGCGTCGATCAGGTTGAGGCATTGTGGAGGGAGAGCGACCCAAGCTGCGCCAACAAGGTGGTTCAGGATGTGCTCCGAAGAGCTCGTTTCCTCAGTTTCGAGGGGTTGAGTGAAAACGAGGCCTCCTCCATTGACGGAGTGCGAGCGTCCGTTGTGGAAAAGGCTTCCGGAGGTCAGGGGCAATCCCAAGGTAAACGAGATCCGAGAACAGGGAAACGTGTAATGTCTTCATCTAGCGGCAAAGATGGAAGCTCAACTGCTGGCTCTCGTCGAGGTGATGGGACAGGCCCTGGAAGCTCTCTGAGAATAGCTACAGACTATTTACATCGCCTAGCATCTGGTCTGCCGCACATTGTCGCTCAACCTCCCTCGCCAGATGTTCTTTTCCAGATGCTTCTTGATATGCCGGACGCTTTTGCCGATACTCCCGCCGGAGCGAATACCAAATCCTCATCGGCTCCTCCTCGCAAGGGCAAGGATGAACAGATTGTCGGCAAGAAGCGGAAAGGAGATGAAGCTCTGGGAGTGCAGTCCATGTCCGCCGGTCATACTCCTGGTAATGTTGTTTCTCCTCCTCAAGACGTGTTTCGGGCTCGTCAAGCCGCTAAGCAATCCCGAATGCGGTAGAACTCAACTATTAAAAGAGAAATATCTTGTGTAAAGTAGTACCTTGCACCGCACCAGCAAGGTTCGGGGCACAGTAGGTCGACGGAAAGTTCGTTCTCTCCATTGTGCAGAGGAATGCATGCTAGAGTAAAGAGAAGCAATACGAGCAGTACAGATGTGGTTGCAAGGTACAGTACTTGATCCAATGTCACTGTAAATTCTTTCACATTGAAGTGTTTCATAGCTTCACACAGAGAGACATACTTTTTCTATGTGCGCCCGGGGAGCGGAATGAAGATATGTGTAATGACCTTTCATGCTCCCCCTTCGATCTCATAATGCAGTGCATTATGTCGACATCAAAGGCCTCAGTGCATTAAATGCACTGAGGCCTTTGATGTCGACGCCAGGATGATATTGCACAGCCTCAGCAGAACTGCATTCTGCCCTCTGAGTAGCCAAGACAGTCTTGCCCCACCTGCAGACGCGATAAAATGGATACCCCCTCAAATCCTGTTCCTTGCGAGGGCCAACTGCCGCTGCATTTCGGCGGGGGGCGGACTACAGTATGAAAAATCTCTCGCGAAACATGGCAAAGGTCTCGAGGCTTGGAGGTGTAAACTTTAGGCTCGATCCCGCAAAGCGGTGACGGAGCACGATGTCAGTATAGAATTCAGATTGTTCCAATTTCTTTCACTAATTGTTCCCACCGACACATTACCCTTGGGTAAATTTAGAAATGAGGTGATCTCTGGGGGCCAAGTCACATGACTTGGCCACCAGAGATCACCTCAACGTCCTGTGAACAGGACGTTACAGTACGACTCTATCGAATTTGACGTAATCGCGATTCCTGACCGCTTTTTCTGACAAGGGAAGCAGAGAATGAAGATCATGAATTTGAGTCAAATCATAGAAGAATTTCTTTATTCCGGACTGAGGTCTTCAGAACATGGCAAGCTGGATTAGTTGGTCTTTCCCTCAGCGTCCAACGCAAGAGACAGATTCACATCGTCTGCACGTGGTCCCCAGAATTGAGTTGTTCCTGGAGTTCGGTAGTTGTCGGCTAACCTCCAGCTATCCCGGCTCTCCGCAAACGTCGTGAAAGGGCTGCCGTCTAGATCGACAAGCATCTTCTTAATGACAGCGACATCCTTGCCATGCCGTCTCTCGATGTTCATCATCATGGTGAGCGGGTAACCAGCTGGGATCCATTCCTCGGGTTTCTTGGTGAGACCCGACAAGGTCGCAATATACCCCGTTTTCTCATTACAACACAATGCAGCAGCAACTCGACCAAGGCCGTAGGTGTAGTTGGCGTCAAAATTAGACGGTAGCGCGCATCGAGCCTCATAGCCGAGGTAGTGAGGCACACCGCTAAACTTGCCGTCAAACTTGCCATTCTTCTTGCGTACTGCAAGCATGGTCGTAACAATGCTAATCAGCAAGCGTTCGGCCTCGATCTTGGCGACTTGGACGTTGCCGTGAGGGTCACGTTCAAGCATGAGTTGATTAGCGATGGCAGGGGGAAGCATGCGGAACAACTTTGCGTTCTCCTCTGTGAGAGCAGATGCGCAATTGTCATATGTGAGAGGGGTTTCCGAGGTAGCCAGAATCTCGTTCAAGTCTACGATGAGAGCCTCGACGTCCGGCATGAACTCAACCAAGCCCTCCGGAATGACGATGATTCCATAGTTTTTACCGAGAGCGGCACGTTCACAGACAAGGTCGGCAATCTGATTAACAATGTCAGCCAAGGTGATATTGTTCTGCTTAACTTCCTCCCCGATAAAGCACAAGTTGGGATGGACCTGCAGGGCACACTCCAGGGCGATATGCGAGGCGGAGCGACCCATTACCCTAACAAAATGATAGGCTTTCCCAGCTGAGACGGCGTCGAAGGCGAGCGAAGCGGTACTCTGTGCGTATGACTTGCTGGCGGTGTCGAAGCCGAAGGAAACCTCGACCTGAGCGTTTCTGAGGTCATTATCGATAGTCTTGGGGGCTCCATTAACAGCACACTTCAAACCATGGGCCTTGAAGTCTTCAGCGAGCTTCATAGCGTTACTATTACTATCATCCCCTCCGATAACGAGAAGGGCATCAAGATCAAGGGCCTTGGCAGTGGCACGGGCAGCGGCAAACTGGTCTTCGGTCTCAATCTTAGTCCTGCCCGAGCCAATCATGTGAAAACCACCCTGGTTCCTGTGCGGGCCAACGATCTCATCGGTGAGTATGAGGTGTTTATTCTTGAGGATGCCGTCTGGACCAGAAAGAAAGCCAATCATGTTACTTTCGGGGTTAAGCTCCTTGACGAAGTCGTACATGCCACTGATGACATTATGGCCACCCGGAGCTGGACCACCCGATAGAACAACAGCAATATTCTTCTTCGGGGGAGTAGAGAGCGGGTCTGAGGGCTGAAAGTGCAGGGCGGGCTGTCCGAAAAGGTGCGGGAACTGAGAATGAATGACTTCGACATCATACGAGGCGGTGGTCGGCTCACCAGACGTGAAGGTGACGGCACGGGGGGTGCGCAAGAGGGGGCTGATGCGCGGGGTGTAGGCGAGACGGGCAAGCTGCATGGGAGAGTGGTGTGTGACGGGAGGGGCGCGATGGGCCGAAAGGGAGACAGACTGAAGAACGTCAGCGACTTCAGCGACGGGGGCGGGGGCGGCGTTGGCGATGGCGACTTTAGAAGTCATGGTAGTGATGTGCGGTGAGGGAGGGTGTTAGGGCGAGGAGAGTGAGGGGTGGGGGAGGGCGGGAGTGGGAGAGGTCGGAGGAGCGGGAAGGAAGGGTATACAAGGAGAACAAGTTTTGGGAGAACGAGCAGAAAAGGCGAGAGCGGGGAATGTGGAAAAATATCTGATAGCGGCTCGCGATTGGGCAAATGCTGATGCAAGAGTGGGATGCCAGCGGGCTACAGCCACAAGCGGAATGCGGTATTTGGAGGCCCGCTGTTTCCCGCCCCGGCCCGCCCGGTACCCGCCAGAACCGGGCCGCGAGTCGTGCAGACCCGCAACCTCGCCGTGTACGGACAGCACAACTCTCTGTACCTCATTGTCCCCATCGCGTCCTCTTCCGCCCCGCACTGCCCCCCCGCAGGGGCAACTACTTTTCCACACTTGCAATTGTTTTTCCGCGTCCTCTTCCGCCCCACACTGCCCCCCCACAGGGGCAACTACTTTCCTGCACTTGCAATGGTTTTTCCGATGGAAAAACCATTGCAAGTGATCACGTCCAATCTTCTCCTACAGTACCTCACACGTGTACCCTCCCTCCTACACTACGTGCAATCAAAACTCTTACACGAGCATTGCGAACACGTGCACCTATAGTACTAGGATGGACACTAAACATTTATCACACCGTCTGCGCACACCGTCTGCGCACACAGTCCCCCCTCCCGTGCCCCTCCTCCTCTGCCCCTCTTCCTCTGCCCCGGACTACCCTTCACGTCACCCCACACCATGCTCCTCCTCGCCGTCACTCTTTCTGTCTTACTCCTTCTCCTCTTCAACCTCCTGCGCCCCTTCCTACCCGCCGCCCGTCCCCCTCCCCTCATCACTAAGCCTTCAGCCTTACAGAATCTCCTCGCCGAAACTTTCGAGCACATCCCCGACATCCCCGGCGCTCCGCGCGTCCTCGTCCTCTACGGTACTGAATACGGCTTCGGCAAGGAAGTTGCCTCCAAACTATGTGCACAATTGGCCATAGCGGGCTTTGCCCCCCGACTCGTCAGCACCCTGCACTACACCCTGCTCGACCTGCGGAAGGAGAAGTTTCTCGCTCTCGTGTGTTCCACGACGGGCGATGGCGTGCCACCCAATGAGGCCGCCGATTTAAGGGATGCTCTTGTCAACAACAAGTTTTCAGTCCCAGAAAATTGCAGCTTTGCCGTGCTCGCCCTGGGAGATCGCGCTTACCCACATTTTTGCAGGGCCGGTGTTGTATTCGACAACCTTTTCGGCGATCAGGGTCGCATGCTGGAGAGGGTTGATATCGACCAGGAGGATTGGCCAGTCATCGATGATTGGATCGAGAGCTTTGAGGCCGCCCTCAAGGAGAGGACCGCCGAGGGGGACGACGACGACGACGACGATTATTTGCCGCCCGCCATGGAGAAGTACGCCCAGGCAATGGAGAATTGCACCGATGCCCGCTATTCGAGGACCCAGCCGTTCAAGGCGCGCATCGTCGACCAGGCATTGGTTACGGCTCCGCGCACCGGCAAGCCGGACGACAAGGAGGTTGTGCGCGTCGAGTTTGATATCGAGGGCTCCGGCATGGAGTATGAGGTAGGTGATGCTGTAGGTGTTGTACCGCGGAATAATTCTCAGCACGTCACGAGGTTGCTGCTGGCCCTGGCCTCGAATGGAGATGAACAAGTCAGGGTTTCGGACAAGGGCGACCTCATCACGATAGAGACTGCGCTTACCGATTTATTAGATGTCAAGACGCCCAAGGCGGAGCTTGTCGTCGCCCTTGCTCAGAATTGCACTGACAAGGCTGAAATGGCGCTGGCGAAGCGAATCTTAGGGTACGATGTGTTGAGAAGTGACGGACATAGCGCCTCTTCCCTGTCGGACTGGGGGAAGGATTATCTCTCCCAGCGCGAGGTGTTCGATGTCCTGGGCGAGTTTGTTACATCGACGCTCACGCCACAAGAACTGACGGATTTGCTGCGCCCGCTTCACGCGCGGTACTACTCCATCTCATCGACGCCAATCACGAGCCCAACGCGGATTGCTGTGACGGTAGATGTGCTCAGGTATTCGATGCTCAACGTGGAGAGGGAAGGGGTGGCGAGCACGTATCTCAAGGATCGGTGTAGGATTGATCAAACGGAAGTTGGGGTGTTCGTGTCGAAGAATCCAAACTTTCGCTTACCAAAGGATGAGGACAAACATGTGATCATGATCGGGCCTGGGACAGGCCTCGCGCCGTTTATCGCATTCATTGAGGAGCGGGTGGAGACGGAGGCGACGGGCAAGAACTGGCTCTTTTTCGGATGCCGCCACGAAAAGCAAGATTTTTTGTACGGTGATAGGCTGCGAGAATATGAGGAGGCGGGGCAGCTAAGGCTTGACACTGCGTTCTCTCGCGACACCGATAAGAAAGTCTATGTGCAACAGCGGATGAGGGAGAAAGGGTGCGAGCTTTGGAATCTAGTAGAGGACGGCGCGCATGTTTACGTCTGCGGAGATGGTGGGAGGATGGCCGATGACGTGGATAGAGCGCTGCGAGAGATCATTCAGGAGTTCGGGGATAAGTCAGAGGCAGCAGCGAAAGGCTACCTTGAGCAACTTGTAGAGGATAAGCGATACCAACGCGATGTGTGGGTATCATAATTTTTGTATATAAGCAACGTTGCTCTAACTTGGACAGGTTAAAGTAGGATAGCAGTGACCGTTGTAAATGCCTGTACCACCAGTTTAGGCTTGTATCGTCCGCAGCTGGCGCATCGTACGTTAGACAGAAACACAAGAAAGAACAGTTTCCCGTAGAGCAAAAGAGCGCCGATTCGCAAGGGTTGTCGGTCGGATTGCTCCTCTACCAGAGTGGCCATTACGAACGACTTCGCATGACGCTTTACAAACAAAACCCCGCATGCAGTCCTTCTAGTACCCGCCAACCTTACGGTGTCATCGTGGCGTCTATCATTGCCAATCAAGCAAAAATGCCTAGTTTGTCTTCATTCGCATCAGCACTTGTCTCATTCTCGATGTATCCCTCGCACCCTCCTTGTATTTACCAGACATGTCAACTAGCTCCGGGATAATATCCCAAGAAGGCGGCTCACCGGGCTTGCTCATTCTCGAAATGATGCCATCCCTCTTCATAACAAACTCCTTCTCTGCCTTGGCATTCCTCTCACCGGTATCCTTCGCCCCATTATCCCATCGCGCATGCATCGTGGCAAGCGTCTGGCGAGCCTTCTCCGCGCGCTCGGCCTTCGTCGCGCGCTCAAACTCCATCTTCTCCTCCAGACCCTTCGCGAAGGAAGCGCGCCACTCTGTGACAGCGGCGCATTCGGGCTCGGCGTCCTCCGGCGGGGGAGGGGCGGCTTCGCCCATCGGGATTGCAGTCATGGGCTCGGCCGGTACGTGGCCGTTGGTCTGGCTGTTGACTTCGCTATCGGCGTCGCCCAGGACAAAGCCGGAGTCAGGCATGGCCGCGGCGGGGGTGGGATCCGCGTTGTCGGCTGCGGGATAATCTTTAAAGAAATCTGTGAGGGTTTCGCAGAGGTGCATGTGAACGGTTAGAAGGGCTCAATTATGCGAGGAAGGAGTGGTCGCGTTTGAGGTAGAAGGGTGGTGGATCGAAAAGGCGTTCGGACGCAGAATTCGTCGAAGGACACATACCTTCGTCCATTTTGCGTGCTGATTGCGCGCTGCGCAAAGGTTTCAGGGATCTTTCTGCGAAATGCTGGAGTTGGGATGAACGCAACGAAGTGAGGAGGTTGTGGAGTTGGAATCGGCGGAACTTCACGAGAAACAAGACTCGGCAATGACGGTGATGGTGAGAAGGGCCCTTTGACAAGAGGGGGGAGGGGGGTCTGCGGATGGGTGCGGTACACTGGAATGCGATGCTTACACTGGAATGGTCATTCGACGTGGAAACGTGTGAGTCGTGTCATTCCTTTCATTGCTGGATGTCGACAAAAACGTATTTGTCTCGTAACGAGTGAACAAGTCCTTGATCGGGCCTAAACATATGAGAAAGGTCAACAGGGTATTGGGAAAACGCCGATTTTGGCGATAAATCGCGAGGTCCAACATTTTCGACCATTACCTTGTCCATTATAGGACGGCTACAGACCCAAGGGGATCAGGTGACTTCGCAGGTCTCGAAATCAAGAAGCACATTGATGAACTGTAGGAGGAGGTCATGGGAAACTGTGGATGATTCCATCATCACGAGGTTTTCCACCGTCTTAGTTTACAGTTTGGGTTGAATGCGCATTGTCCACAAATCGTTGAGGGAGTTGCATATTTTTGAACACCTACAACCTGATCGCGCAGAGAAAGGCGTTTGCATCTGCATACCAGAGGCAGATTTTGTGGGAGCGCGCAACAACAGAATCTTGTTACTGTCGCTCTCACTGTTGAAAATATGATGGCATGGGCAACCCAGAATATGATGGCTTACGCAGTGTTTCTGCTACGATGCCACAAGTGGAACGAATGAGGGAAAGGCTATGGCGATGCGCCGCTCGAACTACTGGTACTGGTACTGTACTGAATGGAGGTTGTGGGCGTTTATTAATGAATAGGCGACCGCTGAAGAGACTTAAAATGCGGCTAGTCTAGCACTGTCTGTCTCGACTTACGAACTGGAGTGCTCACGTTGTGCCTCAGTTGGACAACGAAATTGTAGAGAGGAGGAAAGAGGAGGTCTGTTGTCATATATGCCTTGTGACTGTACGTGTATGGTGCAGGACAAGGACTCTGCGTAGAAGTTGCGGATGCTCGCACGATTGCAGATGGCGAGCCTGCGGCTACGGTGCGGCAAGGTTGCGGCGGGCTTCTGGCGGCTGTATTCAAGAAAACCCCAGTGTCTAGACGATATGTGACCCCATATGAGGCTGCTTTTCAACTTATTTCTTCTCCACTTGTGCTTGCTCAACAATAAGGAAAAAGATACTCTCGCCACCGCAGTTGACTTGTGCGTTGGGGAAGGATGGAGTTTGCTGAGATGTGCACGTTTTTTCCAACCATTTTTAGAAGAGATAATATTGAAAGTTCATTGGATTGGTAGTCTTTCAGAGTATTGACGAGTGCTACTTCGAAGTACTTGAAAGTACCGTGGTGTTTAGACGACAAGCGAGTTGCCTGACATGAGGTCAGCTTTTTTTTGCAAAAACATATATATTATTAAATCGAAACTTTGTAAAATCAGTTTGGACGCCATTTCCTTTGACAGATCGCACAGTCCGGAGTCGCATTACAGTGCAGAGAACTGAATAAGTAGACGTACAGTAGGACGGAGCGACGACGAGTAAACGGAGGCACCAGATTCTTGTTCTAGCATCCTTAACGTACTTGTACAGTACATGTCCTGGGCAATAACATCCTGCAAAACATTGAGATACAAGATTGCTGAGATTGGCTTACATGCAAATTACAGATGCCTTTCGACGGCAAAAGCGGTTTCGGGGAGATATATGGTTTAGAGCTGCAGATTTGGTGCGCTAGGGTTCCCTTCTTGGCACTTGGTATGTGCCAATTGGCCCTTGCGCCCTCGAGACTCAAATATCTGCACCAACAGGTCGCCCGGGTACCTCGACATCACCGCCAGCTCAACTAGCGCCGCCTCCACCGCATCCGCACCTTTTCCCTGCCGCCTCCAAAAAATTGCTACACTCTTCTGCGTAGCCTCCAAAAATCTGTCGAGCTCACTCCCTTCCTTTTTTAACTGTAGCCTACTACACCCCGCACTCCCCCCTAACGCACCCTTTACCATTTGCTTGTGCATCATCTTGCTCTCCCCAGGTCCCGTCCCGCCCCATCCTGTCCTGCCCCATCCTGTCCTGCCCCATCCTGTCCTGCCCCACCGCGCCTCGTCCCCCACCATGTCCGCCTTCGTCCCCAACCCGATCCTCTCGCGCCCCATCTCATCCCGCTCTTCCTTCGCGCCCCCCTTCGTGAACCCCCTACACCCTTCGAGACCAGCTTCTACCGCCCGCATGCGAGTTGCTCTTCCAGCCGAGCTTGACACCTATTCCCGTTCCCCCACTCCGATCATCCGCCTCGATTCCCTCCCGACCACGCTCTCCTCGCCCCCGGTCCGCGCCGCCGCTCCGTCATTGTCTGCTCCGCCCACACGTCGTCAGCACATACCCACTCGCCCAGAGCCTCTATCAGCCGCCCGTGCACTCCTATCCGCTGGCGATTATGATGGAGCCCGCGCGCTGTTCGAATCCCTCATCTCCAATGGCTCCACAGGCGACGAGGATGATGACGCCGCCATCATGAGGTCCTGGGCCTTCATGGAGGCATTGCACGGTGACGAACAGAAAGCGAGAGAGCTCTTCGCCAGGGCTATTCACGTCGCCCGGTCGCCGCACATCGAGGCCGCTGCCTGGAACGCCTGGGCACTCATGGAGCAGCGCAAGGGCAACATTGCTACTGCCCGCAAGTGCTTTGTCAACGGCCTCAAGGTTGATCCCAGCCACGCCCCTCTCTGCCAGGCTTTTGCTATCTTTGAATCCAAGTATGGGTTGAAGAGACGCGCGAGGGAGTTGTTCTCCCGAGGAGCCCAATTCAACAAGACTAATCATCGCACCTGGATCGCTTGGGCCAACTTCGAGGCTAATGAGGATAATTTCACAAAGGCTACATTGCTTTTCAAGGCTGCTCTTTCCAATGCTGACGGAGATGACTGTGTTACTGCCATTTTGGCCTGGGCTAGATTTGAGGAACGGCAGAAGCACTTCGAAAAGGCGAGAGAGCTCTTCCAGCAGGGGCTGACCCGGTACGGCCAAAACTGCGCCAAGATTCTTCACGCATGGGGTAACATGGAGAGTCACGCTGGGAACTACGTCAGATCAAAGGAGCTCTTCATCTCCACGTTAGAATGCCCCGGTATGACTGGCGTAGATGCGGCCCCGACATACCAAGCTTGGGCGCTTGCCGAGAAGAGAGCTGGGAACATTGGAAGCGCAAGGAAGCTGTTTGCGAGGGGAGCCGAAGCGAACCCCAAACATGCATATATATGGCAGGCCTGGGGGATCATGGAACAACGGTGTAAGAAGTTTGTGCAAGCGAGAAAGCATTTTCAAAAGGGCGTCGAAGCCGATCCATCTTCGGCACCCACATGGAATGCATGGGCCAGGATGGAGGCACAACAGGGACATTTTGATGAAGCTAGACGGTTGTACAAAAAGGCTACAGAAGCTAACGCCAGTCATGCTCAGAGCTGGCAAGCATGGGCTGTGTTGGAGGGCAAACAAGGTAAGCGGGACTGTGCACGGAAACTGTTTCAGAAGGCACTATCTGCAGCTCCAATGTGCGCGCCAGCTTGGCAAGCATGGGCTTGCATGGAGGAAAGTGCTGGAAATTTTGAAGCCGCCAGGAATTTGTTTCAGAAGGGAGTGAACACTGATCCCTCACACATTGCGGTATGGCAAGCTTGGTGGCAAATGGAGCAACGGATCGGGACGTGGGACACGGGACCAGCTTGCAACCTGCAATCGCCAGGTTGCGAGCGAGAATAAGAATTACGGTCAAAGTGCGAGTGATTGCTACTGGAGAGGAGGTGAAAGGGTCCGGGGCATGGCGGTTGTTTTTGTGTAGACGGGCCCACATATTTTCTTCGGAGTTAGAATATTTTTTTGCATGCCGATGAGGAGCGCTGCTAGTGAAATTTAGCATCCTCAGTTGGCTACCCCAGAGCTCGACAAGATTGAGTAAACAGTAATTTACATACTATTTCCACGAAAGTCAACCAGCATCATGCGGTTCGTTGCCTCACGAGCCATTTCTGATCAAAACCTTGGGCCATCGTGCGTCGTCAATTTATGTTGCCTCCACCTTCCACTCTCTCTGGGATGTATCCTGCAGGCTTTGCTTCGTCGCAAGCAGGGCGCTTCACTCATGTCCGAAGAGAACGTGATCCTTAGATACACGTACTAGGGCGAAGACTATTGCAGAGTGCCACATGCTTGCTTGGATATTTCACCTAGAATGGATAAGGCATTTGCGTTTGCACTTCCCATAGGGGTATATGGCTGACGTAGCCAGTAGTATTGAAACATGCTCTCTTTCCTGCGCCGATTCTCTGCTAGCTTTATGTCACGTGATAAGCGATATAATGTCTTGACATACATTTGTCTGAAACGAGAGATATTGAAGACAAATGTCTTCGTTTCAGACTGTTGGACCGAGATCATCAGTAGGAACGGCGTTCAAAGCCTGGCACGGAACGCAGTCGAGGCTAATGCTTGTCGCCTGGTTTCAAAGAGTGTGGAACAGCAGCAATACAGTATTTTCACATGAAAATTGCCCTGGAATTTACATGCTTTTGCCCCACTCTTCTCATATCGCACCTACCCTTGGTACTTGACACAGCCTTCGTGCTTGAGCCTCCGTTTCCTGACTGGCAAGGAGAGCGTTGGCAGATTGTCTGCCCTGGGCTAAGAAGACTCCGTACAAAGACTCGTCTTGGGTATGCGAGATCTTACATGCATGGTCTGAGCATGTTTGACTTGCGCGTTGAGACTCTGTCCAGCCACTGGGACCGATGCGAATGGCAATAGCTGTCTGCCAGCGCATGTATTTCAATTATAGTTTCAATCTATTCCCACGACTTGACACGGATGTCCGTCATGCTAGCACTACAAGTACCTTCGGGCCCGTGACCCCATCTCCATTTAGGGAGTATTTGAGGCGTAGATAAACCCGTTTCATATCTGAGGAGTCACGCATGCTGGAGAGACCTTGAATATCCTTGAAATTCTAGGAGACCGAATGCATGTCCAGCAGTACCAGTGATGGGGACCGCTCAAGATGTAACGACAAAAGCAACGGGTCAGTTGAAATCTACTGGCTTCCACTCAACGCTGATCGCTCTAGGTCCCTTAACGCTACAAAAAGCAGCACATCCTTTCTGTGCGAGGGGCTCGAAAAAAAATTACTGAGAACGGTGCAAAAGGGCAAGTGCCAAAAAGTTGCTGAGAAAAGTTGTGATGAAGAGAATGAGATGCGGAATATACGCGTGCGGCGCACTCTCTCACACACCGTACACCCGGCCTAGTGGTTGGTTGTTCTACACTCTGAGCAGCATGACTCGTCAGCATGGCTATACAATATAACAAAAAAAAGAACATTTTTCGTCGCCTGCTGTGGGAATTGTCCCAGGAAAAGTTTGAAGGAAATAGTTTAAACAGTTTATTAATGTCTAGAAGAACCTACGACCGGCTCTTCAAACCCAACCGAACCTCCGGGCAATCGGAGCGCTGTTCGTGAAGGATTCTGCGTAGACACGTCTGTTCAAATCTGCCTCCGGGCAGACCCACGCGCTAGTCGCATGGGATTGTTCGTTATATACTAATTTACTGTAACCCTAAACACGGCAAGTTCTTTCCTCACCCCGTGACCCATTCACGTGGTGAGGTATATCGCCATATGACAGACATTATGATAGAAACTTTCACACTGCCATTTTTCCAGAAGTAGAACTTGCCGGAGTCCTGACAATCCATTTTCGGACAGTATTGTGGTCGTAACCCGTATCTAGGAGCTTTTCCAAGGCTTCGTTGGGATGTTCTTTTGTCAAACCATCGGCTACGTTGTTTTCGGAGGAGACAAGCCCGACATGAGATATTTCTTCTCGGTTATAGCATTGTCTCGAGGATGCTATGTCAATCATCAGCCTTTTCTCTGTCGTTGAAGAACCCTTGGTGATGACGTCGAACATTTGTAGCGAATCCGTGAACATATGAAGTGGGATTCTCTTCTTGAATATCATTTGAAGGTCATGTCGTAATATGTACGCTCTGTCGAATCCGTCGGCAAAAGCGTACACCTCTCCACCAAGAATGGATCTGACTACTCGCTTAGACTTTCTGCTTGAGTAATCCAGAACATGTGACCGGTTTGTTTTATCGCAAAGGAGAATGATGAACCCAAGCTGTGAGGACAAATCGTCATTTCCGGCGAAGGAAGCGTCTGTGTATACTCTCAGATGTAGCGTGGACTTGTTCAGTGGGGCATATTTAAGGCATCTCTCCGGCATCTTTTGGAGACGTTTGATCGTACTGTTGAAGGCCTTGATCTTTTCCACTCCGAAAGTACTAGGTGTAACCTGTGCAGCTTTGTTGATAGCACATAATGCGTCAGGTCTCGTGTAACCAACCCAAGCCAGTGTGGCGCGGTAGGATCTGAAGCGTTCAAATGATGCATCCAGCGGCAGTGGCTTTAGTCTTCCAATATAGGCCTTCTGTGATATTGTAAAATGGCTGCTTCGCTCTGTTGAGATATTTGTTCCGAAGAAGTCAAATTTGTCCCATTCTCGTGGCCTCGATTCAAATTTGTGGAGAGTTAACTTCGTAAGTTCCTGCATTACCTCATTTCCTGCTAAGCATCCGTCATCGACACACATACCCAAGAGTCCGTCCACATCCTCGTTGTTACGTTTGATGTACAAAGACGGATCTCCTAGCAGAGGCACTAGGCCAAGATCATCTTTGGCGTGATGGTCGACGGTGACCCCCCAGTAGTCGCCCGCGTCCGTCATACCGTAGATTGGCCTGAGAAGTTCTAGAATGTCTTCCTCGGTGATTCCAAAGTGCTCCATGTCCTTCCTTTTGGGGAGTAGAAATACCTTACGGGTGAGTTTTTCCTCACTTTGCAGGTATGCCTGCGTTATATCGTGTGAGAAGATGCTAAATGCTTTGATCGCCGCCACAAAGATTATTATTCTCGTCGAACTTTGTCGCAAGTTCGTAATGTTGTGGACCATGTACGATTTGTCTTTGTCCCGGTGATCCTGTGCTACGTAACGGGCTTTAGAAAGCTCATTATCCGTGCCTGCATTCTTAAGAGCCAGCACAAAACGTCCTCCCAAAATATTTGGGTTAGAAGGAAGAAATTCCTTGGGTACAATCTTCCATGTGTTCCTTTTCTCAAGACCGAGAACTTCTGTTCTCATGGCTTTGGCGAATTCACCAGATTTTGCTCTTACATCCCCTTGTTCGATGATTTGGGTCATAAGAATGTGGGAGTTGGTTGTTGTGTCAATCGGTGCAGCGAGTTCCAAAGAAGGGAAGGGACCTCTCAAAGGTCCCGGTTTCCATGAAGGAGTTCCAGGGTTCGCACGGATTCTGCTCAGTATTGATTCTAAATCGTTCAGCACGTCGCCTTGAGGTACTGTTGTAGGTTCCATGTGCAACTCTGTGGGCCCCGGCACAGCTTCATTCTTTGGTTCACGAGTGGATAGAATGGGTACGAAGGATGCGGGAGTGTTGTACACTTTCACTTTGTCGATAGACACTTGCTTGTTAGTTCCGTTCAGATCAATAAAAACACTCTTATCCTTTACCTCCACGACCGTGTACGGACCAACCCACTTGTTCTCAGGCTTCTCCCTGAACACCAGGACGCGGGAGCCGATTGGTATATCCGTAAGTGCAGCAGCCGGGACATTCATGCGCAAAGCCCTGGTGACTCTTTCTTTTGCGATGACTTTGGTCATTTCTTTCCTAGCCAATGCCATAGCCTTCATTCGATCCACCTGAGCCGGAAGGTCGGTAGGGGTCACTGGAATCCGCGGCATGGCCCCGAAAACGAGGAGAGTGGGGACCAGGCCGTGATACCCAGCTGTATCGTTCATGGCCTTGACGGAGAGTGCAAGAATGTGGTCATTCTCGAGTTGCGGGAATTGCTGCCGTGTCTTGCGGTAGATACCTCTCAAAAAGGAGTGATACCGCTCACCAACGCCCAATGCGTTGTGGCTCTGTACACCGGAAGGGTGGTGTGTGATCCCGGCTAGATTGACTAGGTTGAGCCATCTATTTGACGTAAATTGGGGTCCCTGATCGGTTGCCATTATGTCTGGGAACCCAATATATATACAGACCCATATGCGCATGAAAGTGTTCCAAGTGTCATCAGCAGTTTCCTTGGGAAGGAATGAGGCCGCAGAAAACTTTGTGTCTTTGTCTACCACGTGCAGGACTGCGGCATTGTCGAGGTACATGAGGTCCAGGCATACGGTCTTATTGAAAACCACTTCTCCGTCTGGGAGTGCGACCCGGAATCGATGTGGGGCATGTGACAGTCTTTGACAAAGGTCACACGCTGCAGTGATGCGCTTCAGGTCGTTCAGAACCTGAGGGGAGGTTTTCCCGGGGTCCGACCTTTTCATGACAGCGTAGAGCCTTTCAGAATCTGGGTGGTGAAAGTGCTTGTGTACTTTCATCAATTCGGTTTCGGTAAAGAGAATTTGTGGACCCCACTCGTAGTACAGGTGCCCCAGTTTCTTCTTTAGTGGGACAGTCCACCCCTGGAGTCTTGATGAGAGAACACACTTATCTGTGTCAATTACCATTCTATACCGTTCCATGTAATCGAGGCCGAGAAGGAATGGTACGTTGGTATCAACCACATCCACAGAGAGGGGGAGGAAATGGGTTGGGCTGACTGGTACTCGAATGTCCAAAATCCCAAGACCAGGATGTTTATGAGTCCCGAAGCTGAACACGTTCCTTGTCTTGCA